TTCTTGGTCTGTGGCGGCTCTATCGGCATTGTTTTAGCTTTGTTTCAGAGCCCAGTCACCCTTGCCCTTGCTCAGGACAGCGGTGAAAACCGACCACGGCCAGGGGAATGAGCAGAGTTTCACATAAGCCGAGGAAGGAGACGGACCACGTCTATGCTTCATTTTCCAGATGTGGTCTTATTCATTGTCGCCAAGTTTCACCGCTTGCTTGGCCCTGCTGCCACGTGGCTGAGACCACACCGGACAGATGGCTGTTGATCGCACACCGCAGCCCGCCATTCGGCATTCATGCCCCGTCCAAAGTCTTTTGTTGTTCGCCTTTTCTTAATGATACCCACTGTTGTTTGGTCTACGAGGCGTCCACCTCATCTGTAGGGGAAAGCCATGTGAGATGTGAGATTTGGAAGGAAGGGAAATCGGATTGGTTCTCGGAGTCAGGAGTAGGAGGAAGTAGGGCTGGTTGACTGCGGCCTGACGAACAGGCAGTTCCAAAAATATTTCAGTGATTGGTGGTTGTACCATGTATATAGATTAGAGACTATGAAGAAAAAAATATAAGTGCCCGCTGGTGTCTCCCATCGATTGACTTTCTATTCCACTACTACTACCAAGACAATTCGCAGCACTTCGCCATGCACTCTCTCCCTCCCTTGTCTTTCTGGCCGTCGATCGCCTCATTTTGGTCCGTTTAGGAAATCGCTGAGCAACAGTTCGGAGAATTAACGACGCCGCCACGACTTCATCCATGTCGGCCCCCGCGTCTCTTACGCATGTCTCGCTCGACCTTGATTTCAGCCAGCATTAAGTCATTCGACCGATGCGACATGATAAACAAAGGCTTCCTTCTCCTCTCGCCAGCCCGCAGCTCGCAGCTCGCAGCACGCACCGAACTCGGCCATCGCATCGACTCCTCGATTCCTCCGAATACGACCCAACAAGAGCTAATAAAACCTGGCGTCTTTCCCTTGATTCTGTCTCGTTGCCTGCTTTTCGCTCTTTACTTCCGTCTTTCTGCGTCCATATTCTACTAACTCTCATATCACCAAGTCCCTATACACACAGCTTTCCACATCGACTCACGCCCGGCATAACCGTTAACAACGTCTAATCCACGCCTCTCGCCAGACCAGACCTCACCCCCAACCCCCGCTACGAAATCGAAACAGCCATGCCCAAACCAAAGAACTTAGTACGTCTCCTCCACCGACTCACACGCTAACAAGCCGGTGTAGGTACCACCCCGTGGGATGACGGCTTCTTTTTCGCACGACACTTCTCCAGCCCCACGCTTTCTTCTTCTATGAAGAGGAAAGTGATGGACCGGAGAAGTGCCGTGCCCTGGATCTACTAACGCCGCTCAACAAAAGCAGGTATCAGGGGAAAAAAAATCCTCCGTTCTGAGCAAAGCCTAGCCAATGTGGGCTGGTCCAGTAAGTGACAGAGCTTGTGAGTGTCCCCATACCTAGTTGAAACTTGATGAAGGAGGTGGTGAGGACGATGATACTGACAATACGTGCTGTGGCAGGCTGGCTAAAAACAAAAGCCCTACCTATTGACCCCACTCGCGCAAGGCACGTTCCCGCAAGGGAAATGCTCTGGTATGATGCCCCCCCCCCCCCCTTTTCCTTTTAGGGTCATGAGGGGATGAAGATGGAGAGGGAGTGTTTTGCTGATGCTGATTGAGGGGATAGTGCTTTCCACCTTCTCCTCTTCCTCCTCTTCCTCCTCTTCCTCCTCCTCCTCTACTTCTTCTACATCTACTCTCTCCACCTCAACTCTATACCATTGTACTCCACCACTCTTGAGATCGGAGATCATCTTCCACGCACGGGGATTACCCCAATCCAGACTCCGAGAGCAGCGAGTACAGCTCAGTACAAGCCAGTACGAATGCATGCGCAACGCATCCCACAGTCCGGACGGAACCAAACGCTAACGTCACATACATTAGCTCTACCGTTTCCCTCCTTGTCAATGCAGACATACCGATAACGCAAGGACCGAAAGAGGACGGCGGCCTGTGGCTCGGTGTTTACTCCAGCCCAGTAAGTGACAGAGCTTGTAAGTTACCCCCACCCACCTTTCCCTCTACTGTGCTCATTACGAAAGCAAGAGCTAACCTCATCATCAGGCTGGCTAAAGAACCACCGAAGAAGACATTGGCCACAGCCCGTCCAACCTTGCGATAAACCCGTCGTTGACATAGTGACATCAGCACTGGATCTCAACACAGTCCCATCCATCCTGAAATCTCCGGGTGGAATCATTTATGGTCGAGGGGAATAGGAATAGACAGGAATCGGTTGGGAAGTCTGGAGTACTTACTCTTTGGGGGTACAGTACAGTGCCTCGTCAGGCTTATGCAATTCCCTTTGTCTCGAACTATGGATTATATACAAATACTTCGGCCTCAACTGGTTATGATTCCTTTTCTGTGTCTCACACGCCAGGTTAACGGTGTGAAGTTCCATTTACCCGTGCGTTGACACGCAATTTTGAGAAGGTGGATAGCTATCTGGGCACTGAGAATGACTATCTAATTTCACGTCATGCTGTAGCTGGAGAGGATGAACTAGTGGCCTAGCAGCTAGACATAGCTATCCATATTCAATCTCCTCAAAGAGCAGCCCTGAGCCCCTCGATTGTCCCAAGTGCACAATGACAAACAACGCGTTTACCATCGCGGTTAAAACCACAATGCCAATACCAAACGACGACGTCAGTCTCGATATCAATCTACTCTCGCCCAGTAACCCAGCTGACGCATGCACCAGCAGCAGCAACACCACCACCACCACCACCACCGCCAGGTGGCCCGCCCTACCTACCTACCTACCCAGTCAAACTTCGGTCCTAATCGAGTGTTTGACTGCACTGTAGGTACAATAGATAGGTGGTGGAGACTCGAGAAATGATAGGCAATTCCCCATTAGCACGAGTAGATTGTTGTCGGGGTTGGCTGGATGTTCATGTCGCATCCCGCTACGCCATGGGGCATTGGGGGCGCGGGGCGCAGGATGCATGATCCGTCACACCGCATCGCGTTCGTCCTCTTTGGCTGGTGGGTGCTGAAACTTTCAAGGTCGTACACGGGCATGACTCGGTTGGACTTTTTGTGGAGACTACACTGGTCTCAGTACCATTACCTGGCATGTCTTAGTCTAACTCACACTGAGACGTGGAATGGCCCTTGCGATATGTCGAGACTGGTGGATTGTCTGTTATCCGTTGGTTAAAATCATCCTACATGGGACTATCGTGCCTGAAGGAGGTCAGATTTAAAAAATGGTTAGAATGCGTAGACAAGTTTGGAGAATTTTATGCTATTTTGAACCCTCTATCTAATGTATGATTGCATCGTACGCAGGGCATGCGGAACGCTCGAAGACGAGTATGTATATATGAAACACCCATATATTCACAGAAAAATAAGTTGTGCGGGAAGAAAATATGGCTCCCAACGCCCGGAACGCTCGCAAAGTAAATGGCACACTGCCTTCCCGAGCCAATGAGAGACAATGACTTCTATGTAGTATATGCAGCACATAGACAAGAGGACAAGAGGCGGAAAAGTGCTGAAAAGATACCAGTATCGCTGAGACAGAGTGAAGTAACAAATGATCAACGGTCACTCTGATACATCCTCGTCCTTCCCAGGGAAAACAATATCCCGTTTGACAACGGCACGGATATTGCTCGCAAACACGAACAGCCACATCCCCACGATGCAAATGGACATGGCAGATCCGACGCCCTTGACTCCAGGGCTATCGAAGGCTTTGCCCAGCGTGATGGTCGCGAGAGTAAAACCCGTGTTTGGAAAAACCATGGCCCACCAGTTGAGGTGGAAGGCTGTAGGTGGGAGGCGGATGGTGGCGATGATGGCAATGCTAAAGAACCAGAGACTGAGGGCCCAGAGGAAGGCGCCCGTGGCGATGGCAAGGAGTCGGAGGATGTGCGCGTCTTGAAAGGGGTGCGGGTCTTGAAGGACTTGAAAATCCTCAGGAAGGCCGTTGGTCATGCCGATTAGGGCAAGGGCCGTGAAAGCCGGGGGGCCAACGCAGATGAACATCCCGGGTCGGTGTTCCCGGGACGGAAGGCCCGTCTCCATGAGCCGCCCGATATAGTGCGCGTACATGAGGAAACTGATGGAGAAGCCAAGGCCTTGGAAGGTGGTGCCGGCGACGATCATGGGAATAGCAGAGCGCGCGGGCTGCTGTTCGGCAATGACGGAGGCGATCGTGCCGCTGAGCATGATAGGGAATGCGGGGAGGATCCATGAGGGCATCATCGTTTGTAGAGGGTAGTGGTGGGCGGTAAAGACAAAGGAGTATTGGATAATAGCGGTCATCAGAGTGAAGGCACAGTAGAGCCAGAAGAGCACCTCAAGAGCGTAAATGAATGCAGGCTGTGTGGTGTCGCCGAAGTAGCGGTACAGGCCGGTGATGATAGTTGCAATAGAAAGCCAGAAAGTAGGAAAGAAAAGACCCTCGCGGTCGTGTCGGAGGGAGTCGAGGAAGTTGCCGTGGAGAATGAAGCGTGCGGCCATGAGGCTACACAGCAACGCAAAGAAGGCCAGGTTGATGATGTAGACTGCAAGCCCGATCTGTTGCAGTCCGGAGAAGGAGTAGGGCTGGCTGGCCAGCAGGAGGGCTAGACCGCCGGTGCTCATAGTCAGAGTATACCACGCCCAGGTAAAATGACGCAGACGGTCCCGTAGAGACACATTGGTGGAACTAGAGTATTTGGAGGCTTTGAGCTCATGCTGGTATGTTGTAAGGTCCGAGCAGGAGGTGTCGGGAGGCGGATATTGCCCGAGCATACTGTGCATCAGAGAGATGGAGATGAAGAAGAATGACTGTACTGATGGCTATCTAATGGAAACGGTGCAAGTTTTAATAGTCGAAAATGAGCGACAAGAAGTTGTATAGCTGCATTCAGGCCCAAGTGAGGGTCCGCGATGAGTTTAGCACAGCCAATTTGAATATGTTGATAAAGCCAATGAGTGCCAACCACAAACCCAGTATAGAAGCGGAGAAGCACAGATATAGCATCAGCCTGCATTAGCCCCTATCCATCAGGGCTTTGACAAGGCCTCGCAACATTGGGTTGCTCTGTTGCCCTCGCTACTACCATTGAAGGAGATGGAGCATACGGTGTCGCCAAGCGTATGATCTTTTTGATCCACCAAGTGCGACAGAAGAGGAGACACTTGGTCTGGGCGTTGACGCTTGCAGATCCAACAATGGGCCCCTCGCGAGAGACGCGGCGAATTAGGAGGGCGAGCAAGTGTAAACAACCTGAGGGAGGAGACATACCACCTGCCAAGATTGCAGTTCTGGTCCACAGTCCAGGCATCATCGAAGGTAGGGAGTGGGCTGGATGCCGAGGAATTGGATGGGACCAAGATCTACCCTTTTTCAGTCTCGGCTTTGCTGAAAGTGTATGGTTCTGTGACAGTGGGTCACAATTGCAGGGACAACGTCAGCAGCCAGTCATTCCATCAAGTTTCAAGCTGTGGAATGTGTACGCCATCTCTGTTGCTGTCTACAAGTGGCGCATGTCATAGCATGATGTGATTTCTGCAGCAGTCTCTTTGAAAGAGAGCTAGAGATAATGATCAATGGTCAGGTGGATACCAGCTGCCTAGAGAAAGTCGTAGTTTGCTTTCGAAACTGCCGAGGAATCTAAATTTGAGGCAAACGCGTTCTAAGTGAAAAGCCGTAAGTGATAGAAATGCTCCGGCCACGATGGGAAGAGACACAAGTGTTGCGAACCAGCGTCGGCTCATTGAGCGATTTGCATCATCACCATCATCACCAATCGGAAGAGGCCGATAAGCCTCCCCTGTCGGACCGAAAGTGAGCAACATCGGCAGGGCCAAGGTAAGTCAATGACTATCGTCGTGGCTCGGCCCAAGGATAAGGTTCTTGAGCGCCGGCCGAGATGTGATAGATCGCCGCTTGGCTGGGGAGTGCGACTCAGAGAATTCGGCCATCAACCTAGGAGGCAAGAAGGCAGGCAGGGAAGAAGGGTTCAACGTGGATAGAATGGATGGTGATGAGTAGGCTCAAAGATAGGGAGAAACCCAAGCCAAGAAGAAGATCGACAGCGCAGCGTCAACGGGAGGCCCGCCGCCAAGCTTCACAGTGGCTGTGGCCCAAGATTGAAGGAGGGGACCGATAAGAAGGACCGGAAAAAGGGGGAAGAGTTTATTTGGTTCATGGTTTCATGGTCGAATCATCCAGCATCTGGGTTTGAGTGTGTCTGTGCCGGGGGAGAGTTGCTGGAGTGGAGTGGAGTGAAGTGGAGAACCAAAGTTAAGGAAAAGGAAGAGTTACTGAGTAGAAAAGAGGGAAGAGCGGGAAAGCGTTTAGGGAGGATGAGGAGGAGGAGGAGGAGGAGGAAAGACTTGGCAGTGCCCAGCCATTCTACGAGTTATTCTCGCCAAGCATGGCTCAGCTTCTTCCACTTCTTCCACTTCTTCCACTCATACGTAAACAGCATTCTTGATCGGCTCGACTCCTCCGTACTACTGCAACTAAAGGAGTACTTCGGTATTCGATGATCGTCTGTCGCTTAGAGCGCGTTTCATCGTTCCTGATTTCCTGACGCAATCCGCAAGCAATTATTCTGCAGCCTGACAATCCAAGCAACAGCAGTCAGACCTGCAGCAAGCAGCCCCGTCCTGTCGCCTCCTTCTTCACGGAAACGTGGTCTGCAGCGAAGCAGACGAGAAACAGGCATTCATGCTCAACGGGGAAGGTCAGACGAATGTCCAGCGCATGCAGAACACAGGTCATATCACAGAGAATCATCTGGAAATTGTTTCACTAACAAACTATTCGAGCAGGCACATCCACGCTAACCATGCACAGCAGTATTTCCACCAAGAAGAAGCCAGTACGCAAGCAATGCTAATTATATCTCATGTCAGACAGCAAGAGAGAAAGCCAATCATATTCATTCAAATGGTCGAAATCATAGTCGCATAAAAAGACACAAGCAAAGTCGTTGATGTGGGGTCGCAGATAGTATGAGTTAATCGTTCAGCCAGGTATGGACGCCGGATCATGCAGCTCGTACATCCTTGTATGGAATCCTCTGGAACGAACGGGAATAAACGGGTTCACATGCATGGCCATGAACAAAGGTCGAAGCACAGAAGATGGAAGGAAACATTGAAGAAGTAATAAAAAAACGGTGCTGTTCACAGCATACCTACCAAAACGACATCACATCATCATCCGGTATACGAGATCAGAGGCAAGCTCCGTCGTACTATCGAGCAATGCCCGCAAGCCCTGAGCGGAAGGCTTCTGGGATCTGGTCGAGGGAGAGCCCAGATCACTTTCGACTGGCGGACAGTACGAGGCCAAGTCCCGCACCTTGCACGCTGCGAAGTGCACAACCAGCTTCCGCAACTCGTTGTCCCGCAGTTGGGTGGCAGAGGTCGGAGTGATCGGCTCCAGACGGGTGGTCTTGGTGTACGTATAGTGTAGCAGGTCAAGGACTTTACGGGCCTTGATGCTGGCCAGAGCATGATGATCGTCATCATCATCCACCTGGTCCCTCTCAGGGAAGCCGAGATACAGCAGGTCCCGGTGCAACTTACGGAGACAGAGCTGAGCCAGTGCCGGGATCAGGTACCGTGTCGCAAAGACGTAGAGCTTGGCATGGAAGACCAAGTACGGCAGCTCATGTGGCGAGCGAGAGGACATGGCGCTAGGAGGCCTGGTGCTGAGACAGGAGCGGGGGTCGATATAGTCGATGGCGGCGAATTCATCCCATAAGTTGCTTCCCTTTTCATGCAGACGGGAGTACTGCTGCTTGGCAAAGGAGGTGTCAATCATCGGCCCAGTCAGTCTCCTACCACTGTGGTCGTGACCCGGCTGCTTCTCCTCCTTGGGTGCTTGTAGTCTGTCCTTCGCACCAAGCTTGTCTGCATCGCTGGCTTCAGCTTCTGCTGTAGGAGTGGCAGCCGTCTGCTCCCAAGTCTCCGTGTACGGAGCCGACTCCGCAGGACCAGATTCCTCCACTGGGGCATGGTCTTGTTCCCATTGTTCCGTCACCACGTTGGCTTCCGCAGATGGGTTCCCCTCCTCGGGTTTCAAGTTCTCAGGAGGTGGCGTGGAAGGAGGTGTCAGCTTAGGGGTCGCCTCCTCAGAGGCTCCGCCCCTTTTCTTCTTATTGTTCTTCTTATGCTTTTTGCTTTTCTTGCCTTTGGCGGCCTCGTCGTCCGCCGCATCCCAAGCGTCTTCCTCTTCCTTCCTATCCATGGCAGGGGTCATCGGCGGTTGATCACTGGGCCTTCTAGACTCTGATCTCAATTCCTGTCCAGGGTTTGCAGGCTCTTCATCTGGCGCGATTGCACATTCCCAGTCGTCGTCGTCTTTGCCAGAACCCGCATACACGTTTTCGCCGGGACGGTCGTGGGTCTCCCTTGAAGATGTTCTAGGGGGAGTCGGGGCACGCGGAGGAATAGTCCGCACTGGACTGGTCGGGGAGCCTTTGGAGAACACTCCGCGAAAAGGATTACTCACGCGCTGATCGTCGCGATCCTCCTCGCGCGACCCTGGGGGAGGCACGCGGTAATCCCCGGTGTAGGCATACTCGCAGAAGGCGACAAATGTCTCGACATCCTCGTCCTCAAGCACAGCAATGTGATGTTTCGACTCCCGGGTTTCACCGCTGTTCATAAGATGGTCAAGCGGCTGGGAGACATGACGGGCGAGACCAGCCTGGATGGTGAGCTTGGTGTGATTTGGACCGACCAGGAAGGTGAATGGCGGTGAATGGACGATGCTGTAGCCATCAGTGGCCGTCCTGTCGGGGTTGGCATGAAGTAGTAGATTTGGAAGATAGGAAGAAGGGCTTTTGCTTGGTAAGAGTCAGTTACCTACCTACTATAATCTCGATCTGCCTCCATCGACGATGACTCCAATTATGCTCTGGGTAGTCCTCTTCCCAGAGATCAAGACACACCAGAAGGGGGAGAGGGGGAGAAAAGCGAAGTGATGAGAAGCAGGGATTGAAGGGAATTGAAGAAGGGGAGGAAGCCACGCAGCTCAATTAAAATAGGTCGAATCTGCTCATGCGACCCCTGATCATGACTCTTCCATATATTCTGCACCGGGGCTTGCGTTGAACCGGCAGCCTGCGCACTATTGACCGTACTCGAACCCCCTCTCTTTTTTCTCTCGGCAATGTCCTTAGCTTCCCCTCCACCGAAAGAGAAGCTACAAGCGCACGAGGCAAGTCCAACTGGGTCGAAAGAGCGATAGTCTGGCTACGTGGGCAATCATGACGGGGGGTGTGAAGCAGCGAGTGGATTGACCGCCAACCTTTTCACGACGGTCGTCTTATCGCGCGAGCCACCGAGGAAGACAAGCTGCTCTGCATCCCGGAGGGATCGGCCTGGTCATCCGAGCTCTGATCAGTTTTGTTGTCTCTCTGTCTTTCCTCGAGGTTGGTCGAAGGAGGGGTTGAAGGTTTTCCTGCATGGTTTGCGAAATGCACAGAGTGGGGAGGAAATGTGCTCCCTCCATCTGGCCTCTCGTCTGCGATTTCCCTCCCCCTTTTCGAGGATCAATCAAAAGGATATTGCACCCTTCCTGCATGTTCTCACGCGAGACAAGGATTGGGAAAAGACCAACCAGAGGGTAGTTGGACGGGGCTGGCGAGGGAATGATGAGTTGTTGCCCGATGGATCATTTAATCCCAGCCTTTCTTTTCGTTTTCGAGACCCAACGGCGGTCAACCCACGCTGGTCGGCGTCTGGGGCCTGCAGGGGTCCTATTTCGGTCTGATCTGGTCGTTTAGTTGATAATTTCTCCTTCGGCTATAGTGCCAATATCAAAGAGGCCGTGATTCGCTTTGTTCTTTCCTCTCTATGGGAAAAAGAAATAGACTCGCGGGATTTTGTTTGAAGATCACTTTAAGTGTACTCTGCCGTGCCCTAACCAGTGACTGACTGCACCTGAATGCCATCCCACCATGCATGGAAACTGGTTACTTCGAAACGCCGAGGCACAACACTTAATTTCCAAAATGAGATGATCTGACCCAATTTAACAGTGACAAGGCGTGATTCAACAACCCATTGTCACTATGGGTAAGTAGACAACATTTACCACATATCCCACCCCCGCCTGCAACACAGCCCACAATGGCACTAAGAGAGGAAATGGTATCATTAACCCCATCAACACCGTCTATGTCTATTCATCCCCAAAAGACCGAGGAAGGCATGAAACTAGAGAGAGAGAGAGAGTAGTATACACAAAATAGACACACATATTGCATGTCCCGAATCCAACTTAAAATCAGTGTACCAACCGAATCTCTCTCGTCCCGGGCTCCCACTCCCTCAGCCCTTCCCCAACACTATACCAGAACCGCAACTTGACACACTCGGTCCGCGCTTTCTCAATATCCCCGCCGTCAAAGGCCTCCTCCAAGGCCCGCACGCACTCCCGGACCCGCTGCTCATTCTCCCGCTGCAACTCGCGGATCGTCTCCACCGCCCCTTCGTCCGCCCCGACCTCTTCAATCGTCTCCTGCACCTCCATGACCTCCATCAGCGTCTGCGGATCCAGCGCGTGCTTCGTAGCCCCATCCTCCGCCGTGACGTCGATCCCGTGCATCTCGCGGAGGAGGTACTGCGCGCGCTGCAGTGGGTCCAGCAGAGTGCGGTAGGCCTCGTTGATCCGCGCTGACAGGGCCTCGGCCTGCTGCTTCTGCGGACCCGAGGGGTATTTGTCCGGGTGGATGCGGGCCTGCCATTGGAGGAACTCGCGGCGCAGGTCCGCGGGGGAGATCGAGAACGGGGAGTGCGGTGGCGGGCCGGCGGGGAGCGTGTTCCGGAAGATCGTGTAGTGGTTCGTTATGTCCGGGATCTCTAGGGGGGCGGAGGAGGTAGATGAGGAGAGGTAAGAGGTGGTGGTGAAGCAGCGAGTAGTGCTGGTAAGGTTGTGGTTATCAAATCGTCGTAGTGGCGACGGTGAGAGTCGGAGATGACACCGGGGATATGGTAGGGTTGTGGGTGTGGTAGATGAGCGCTGAGACACAGCTTGTAAACTTTGCCGAGAAGATCCAGCGGAGAGTAGCCGTGTGGCTACGCGCGTCGTTGCCATGATTATGGACAGAATGAAATGGTAGATGAAGATGAGCAAAGAAGTTGAAGCTTCTTACTTCTCCGGAATTCTTGATTGATAATGGACAGACGGCCGATTTTGCCCACGGAATCGAGCGGGCGGTGAGATAAGACTTGAAGGTTGTAGCTCACCGCCTGCCATGCATGGTGGAATGTAAAGACTTATTGTCAAAATGATATCATCACCAGAGCGCACTCCTACTGCCATGATACATAGCTTCGTAATTATTGTTATGTAGTCGTATATAGTACAGTACACTCAGACTCATTCGATCCCCCAAAGCTTCACTGTCCGGTCGTGGCCACAGCTGGCAATCCATTGTGCATCCGCACTGATGTCGGTGCTAAGCACGTTGCCGGAATGCCCACTGAGACTCTTCACCAATGACCAGTCATCTGCACTGAAGATGTTGACGTTCTTGTCGAAGCCACTACTCACGAAGAATGTTCCCGACTTCTTAGGCTGTACGGGCCCAGATGTCTCGCCGTCCACCTCCATGCGGCCCTCCGAAGGTAGGATGGAAGTGGCTTCGGCGCCCTTGTACCATCGCAAGTCAGACACGACACTCTTGTGGGCGCCGATTCCTCCGGTGTTGCGCACTTGCCGCAGATCCCAACACTTGACCCATCCGTCTCCAGACCCAGACAGCACCCGGTACCCGTCGACACCCCAGTCCAAACCGTAAATCTCCCGAATGTGTCCCTCCAGAATCATCACAGTCCGGCCTGTTCGTAGATCCCAGATACGTCCGATGCTGTCCAGGCCTCCGCTCGCCATGAGTGACCCATCGTTGTTGAATGCCACTGCGTACACCTCACGCGAATGGCCTTCCTGTAGCAACAACTCCGCCGTCGTCTCCACATCCCACAATCGCCAAGTAGTATCGTAAGAGGCAGAAGCGACATACCGGCCAGACGGGTGGAATTCCGTCCGACAGACACGACCACTGTGACCGGACAGCGTCGCCAGTGGCTGCTCCTTGGCTAAGGACCACAGACACACATTGCCCTCGCCGCCACCTGAGACCAGGTTCACCGTCGATTCCGAGGCGGTAGACGTCGCACCGGGGAACCAAGACAATCCACCGACCCTGTCTGCATGTCCTTTGACTGACCATTTTTCTTCGAGGTTGGGCACTGTCAGCAATTTGATACCTCCTCCCCAGTTACCAGTTGCGATCATCTGCCCGTCGGGCGAAAAGCGACAAATGCTGACAGGCCGGTCACCCGCGATTTGGGAACCGTAGAGGTCAAACTGATGCAGTTTTTCCTTGATCGCTTTACGGTGTTTAATATGCGTCCGCAAGGGGATAGTCGATTCTTCACGCAGCCTGGCGACACGGGCCTTTGCGCGGGGAAGCGAGAACCGCGCAATCTCTTTCCGCGCCATGAGAAGCTCCTCGGAGCCCTCTGTGTAAAACTCCTCCTGTTGCTCAGCCTCCTCCTCCTCGTCTTCGTCGACTTCGGTTGTCCCCTCTCGCATTTCCACATCGCCCTCAGCAGCAGCCGCCGCCGCATCCTGTTTCTCTGCAAGATCAGTCAACAGTTCGCGCAAGCGATCTCTACGATCCGCAGGTCCTTCGCCGAAGAGTGTGATTGGCTCGCCAAGCTCTCGTAGTCGCGCGCGCACTCGAGTGTCGTCAGTGGGCACCGCCATCGCAGCGGCTCTCCTCTTGCGCTCAAACTGGGATAGGATGGCAGAGGCTCTTTCCGCCGGGATGCCCGCTGCGGAAGAGGGAAGGTCATAATTTCGGTCCACGGCTGTATAAAAAATTGGGATGTCAGCTTCGAAATGGGATTCCGTCAGTATACGGCAGGGTTACAAGTGATGCATACGTATATTTGCTAGGTCAATGCCCATATCCGTGTCCTACAGTAGAAATGAATGTCAGTCAATGCGCCCAAATAGACACAGTCGTCCTGTGGGCCGAAGATGACGGGAGTAGCGTATTCGGTCTGAATCAGACGGCAGCTGAAACGGTGGGAGATGATCCTACCTGCGCCTCCTCCACGTACGCCTGTCGCGATGGGTGCATCATGATGGGCGACGAGATGAGGGGATTAGCCAAGAAATGCCCACTCGATTAGGCCAACACGTCAAAAGATTAACAGTTTCAAACTGCAGTGGTGGAGACCGTAGAGCCTATTTATACCAGGGGTAGAGAGTGTAAGTAATAACAAAGAATCTAGAGAGTGAAGAGGGCAGAAGAGACCAAAGTTGGAGAAGAAATGAAATGGCGGCATGTCCGTTTTGCAGAAGGCGGCGGGCGACAAGGCAAATCAACCCGCCCGGTCAATGATCAACTACAATCCCATCAACAATCTCCATCCAAAGTCCAGTCGCTCAACACCTTTGTCATCTTCTCAAAATCCCTCTCGCGCATTCTCTAGAATATCTCCCGGGACTCGCTGAAAGTGTATAGATTGAGCTTCTTCGTCCTGAATCGGCTCCAAGAACCGTCATGAACTCATTTCGTGCATATCATGGTCCCGGGCTTCCGCCATCGTCTACTATATCAGGGTAGTTTAATGAGAGCTGCGCTTAAGATCGCTGACCAGCCAATGAGCATTTTTCAACATTCTAGACCTCATGAACCTATACCTCTCCGTCAACACTCCTCGATCACCATATCAGAGCAGAAGCTACACTCGACGACCGGCTGAATGAGTGTTTCAAGCATGCCTCGCTCGCCCATCGGGAGGCGGTCGATGACGGCGGCGGGCGGTCACAGCAACTGCCGGCCTTTTGGCCCGAAATTTCCATCGGTTCTTCGTCTCTTCTTCCAAACTCTCCCACTTACTTTTCTTTCTCTGTGTTTGTCGAGTCAGCCGGCATTTGGAAACGGCTACCTTATTCCCTCTCCACTCTTCTTTGTGTATCTCACACCAGCATTCGTTCTCTGCTGGACGTCGCCGTCGCCGTCGCCGACCCCCCTGTTACTGCTGGCCCAGACAGGATAGAAACTCTCCGGCTCCAATCCGGGATCTTTGCTGATGCTCGCGTTGGCCTCCCACAGTAGAGCCTGCAGTTCGGCCTGCAGTAGCCTACACACCGTCGTCCGTGATCGACTCTTGGCCTCCTTTGCTACCGCAAAGAAACCGTCCCCTCGTCGATTGACCTCCCGATCATCCTTCTGTCTTGCGCCCGTCGCACGAACTCCGCCGTCTGCCGATTATCGCCGAACTTTTCATACAACCGTGCCGCTATCCTCCCAATCCTCATCTCCTCGTATATCTTACCGGGTCGCTGCTTCAGCCTCTGGCAAGGGCCGTCGCTTTCACCCGGCGAAGAACTCGTACGACTTCAATCCCGACCTCCACCCGGCTATCGGCGTTGCAACAGACACTCAGGATCCTGCACTGCGAAGGAAAAGGAGACCTGACAGCGGCGAGGATGCATTCTTCGTCAGCAAGGTCGGAAATGGCGACTCCGGAGCTATCGCATTCGCCGTAGCTGATGGCGTTGGCGGATGGGCGGAATCCCGCGTCGATCCGGCGGATTTCTCTCACGCCCTCTGTGGCTACATGGCGCAATCGGCCCTTGCCTGGGATGCACCAGCGGAGCAATTGCGGGCGAAGCATCTTCTCCAGGTGGGCTACGATCAGGTAGTAGCAGACAAGTCGATTCCAGCCGGTGGCAGCACCGCGTCCGTCGGGGTTGGCTTGGACGATGGTCAGATTGAGTTAGCGAATCTCGGCGATTCCGGCTCGGTCCTTCTACGACTCGCCGCTGTGCACCATTACTCGGTGCCGCAAACTCACGGGTTCAACACTCCGTACCAACTCAGCATCATTCCTCCTCGGATGCGCGCCCAGGCGTCCATCTTCGGCGGTGCCTTTCTTGAAGACTTCCCCCGCGACGCGGCCGTCACCAACCTTCAGATGCAGCACGGAGACGTCCTCGTGTTAGCCACCGACGGAGTCTTCGACAACCTCAACAACCAAGATATCCTCAAACTGGTGTCCAGCCGCATGGTCCTTACGGGCGCCTGGACCTCCACCGAGGAGGCCGGGATCCAGCCCTCAGCGGATCTGCACCAACTCACCGGCCCCGAAGGCCTTGCGCCGCTTCTCCCCGCATCCTCCCCCACGCCATCATCCTCGTCGACCTCCTCCACTTCCTCTACCTCCGCCGCCAGCACATCCTCATCCAGCAAATCCGCCTCCTCAAACCCCCGGGACCAAGTCTACAGCCTCCAATCCTTAATAGCAGCCACCATCGCCGGCGAAGCCAAGCTAGCAAGCATGGACGTGCGTCGCGACGGGCCTTTTGCCAAAGAAGCTCAACGCTACTACCCCGGAGACTGGTACCGCGGCGGCAAAGTCGATGACATCTCAGTCGTATGTGTCATTGCGGTGGAAGAGGGATACTCCGGCCCATCCACACCAACAGCCAACTAGTCCCCCTCCCCTCCCCGCCCGACGAATAATTATTTCATGATGGCCCTCCTGCAACCCACCCCGGCGTTCGGTTCACTGCAAACAACATATACAGCATCTATATACGGATAGAAATCAGTTACCATCCATCCATACACTTCCACTAATTACCCCCCACATTTGGTGCCTCGGTCTTTTGGGAGCCGGCGCTGGGATGCTACACACACACACACACACGCACATACATATACCTACCTACTTCACCCATCTTACCTACGGAGTATTTCATTTCCCTTGGGTTCATGACTGCTCATATGGAGTGTGTGGCGGGTGTCCTTTGTTTATAAACCCTCTCTCTTTCTGCCTTTTTTTTGTCTATACCCCCAACAATAACAACAGTCATCGATCCACGTGGGTCGAGTCGAGGTTTTTCTTCCTATGGTTTTCGCCAACTACAACACTAATGGATGGATACTATATTATGTCTTTTGGATTGTTTGTTGCCCATCTGCGTAGCATCGCAGTCGCATGACTGTACGGCATCTTCTTCTGGGCGGAGAGTGTGCCATTCATTGCATCTCGGCCATTTCCAAGAGAGCCAGCATCTGTATTCTAGATGTTTGACAGGCGTCAAAGAAGAAACAAATCCGAGTTCATTGGGCTGAGGAATTAAACCTTAAAATCAATTGACTGCATACACACACACACACAAACACACACACCATGTTCCCTTTGGGGGAAAGACAAAATCAAACTCACTATCGAAATCCTGAAACAAGACCCAGGTAGAAGAACAAGACCCCGCACAGAGAAAGAAAGCCATGGGGTGGGTCTGAACACACCACCATCCACCCACCCCGCGCAAAGAGAGACAACCGGATGCAATGGAAGCCCTCATCCCACAGCAACAAGATCATTTCATAAAGGACAAACTCATACAGCGAGAGGGAGAAAGAATCAAGCAAAAACAGGTCTCTGGGGAAATAGGGCGAGATTAGCCCAAGAACAGCACAAGATGTCGGATAATCAAATGAAATGCGCTTGGGAGCGAACGATGAGACTTCGGTGCAGCCTCAGGTTCATCTTCCGCGACTTCTTATGAAACCCACCAGTCGGATTCAATGTAGTTGATTGAGTCTTACTCGGATCGGAGAAGTCAGATAAGCAAGCTTTCGGAAGAAAATGTACAAAAGTCAGGAGCAAAGATCGAAATCAGATGATCACGGGCGCAAGAGAGAGATGCACGTTCAACGGCTAGTTTTGATTTCGCTGTCAATTTTCGACTCTCGTGTGCAATGGAATTCCAAAACAAGAAATGGTAGAGTGGATAACAAGCAACAGAGAGGGGGTTGTAGAGACAAATAAGAAGCAGTGACGACACAGGACCCAAATGCTAAATAGTAGGAGAGGTTCTGCACAGATGAAACAGGATGTTCAGAAAAGCCTTGCGAAAATCAGCGGGAAAGCAAATAAGAGACACCCATAAACAAAGATGGTTTTTGTTCTTTAAACAGCTGCCTCCGCAGACTTCTCCTCTGTCTTCACGGCCTCTGCAGCCGGCTTTTCTTCGGCTGTCTTCTCCTCTTCCTTCTCTGCCGATGTCTCTTCGGCCTTCAAGGGTTTCTCAACATCCTCCTTCACCGGCTCGGGGGCATCCGATTTCTCCCTTACATCGGCATCAGTCATCGGCTCGTCCTGGGGCTCCGCGGGATTCGTCTTGCTCTCCTTAGATTCATCTTCTTTCTCGTTTTCAGTATCGGCCTTGACGGGCGTCTCCACGCTGCTCTCCTTGTGAACGCCATTCGCTCTGGGCTTGTCCTCTTTCTCCTTTTGCTCGGAAGGACCGGTGGTGTCAGCATCAAGAACATTCTTCCACTTGGACAAGATGTTGATGGCGCGCTGCCGGAACTGGAATTCCTCGTCCCGAGGAATAGAGCTGAGCTTCACGATCATCTTCAACACCTTGTTGATCTTGGTCGCACGAATGATTGACACTTCTAGATCAGTGTGCTTCTCTAGCTTGCTGAAGTAACCCGACATAGCGGTCATCTCTTCCTCTGCGGGTGGGAGTTCACGGGAGATGAAACCCTTCTGAAGCTTGTGGCGGATGAAGAGAACTACATGGTGTGAGCACATCTTCCGCCAAACACGATCTTGCATTTCGGGCACTTACTCTCTTTCTCCTTCTTCTCTTTGAGCTCCTCCTGATTGACCTTCTTCTCAGGTTCTTTGGAAGCCGGACGAGAATCTTCGCCTTCGTCACTTGCAGCAGCCTTGCCAGCCTTCTTAGTGCTGGCGGTTTGCTTGGCCTTGCTAGAAGCAGGAGCTTTCTTTCCAGTCTCATTGGTCGGGGTTTTGGGTGTCGTCAACTTCAATTTAGTGGTAGTCTTGGGCGTCTTTGCGGGCTATTAACCACCGCGAAGGAAAATCGTTAGCTGGTGTTACCTGTCGCTGCATCGTTCGAATGAACCACCCCTGACTCACCTTCTCATCCGCTGTAGTATCAGCTTCAGCATCCTTCTTCCGCTTCTTGGAGCTCTTCGGCTTGTGTTCCTCCTCATCAGCATCCTCCATCTCGACATCTTCGTCGTCAACGATGTCCATGCTCTTGCGCTTGTTCTTCTTTGCTTCTCGGGCAGCTTTAGCAGCGGCCTTCGCAGCTGCCTGAGCTTCCATCTCCTCATGTTCTTGCTCAAGCGCACGCTGGTGGTCGGCCAGAAGCTCCTTGAAATGCTGGAGATCGTGACCTTCAGCACCGACGGCATAAGCAGACAGCAACAATTTGCTCTTGCCCTTCTCTGATACTTCCTTGCAGGTGGCAGGCTCGAGAGGGGTCAGGTCTGTGTTGGGGACCCAGGCGCTAAAGCGGTGTTAGACAGATCACGGTGGAGGGAGCACAATTGTAAGGCAGAAACGCCAAGTGTTACTCACAATTCATTTGTCTCAAAGAACATGACCGGGAAAGTTCGCTCGTGCGCGCGCTTGCCGCCTTCAGCGTAGTCCTCTCTGATGGTTCCATCTTGACGCTGAGCGGTCACGGGACGGGTTTCCAGCAGAGTCTGGGGAAGCATCTCTTCATCGCAGATAATGGAAGGCCACGGTGGGTAGCTTCTCAGACGCGCGAGGAAATAATCACCAGGTTTCGCGTCGAGGTGCAGGACGCGAACTTGCGACTTCTTTCTGCTCAATGAACCTCCGGTAGATTTGCGCCGTGAGGCTGATGATTTCTTGGCCGAGGCGGGTGTTCCGTTGGCCTCCGATGCTGGGGCGGCTTTGGCTTCGGGCTCTGCAGGGGCGGCTGCGCCATCGGCGGGTTCCTTCGCGTCGACAGGCTCAGAGGGGGTGGTGGGCTTTTCAGCTTCAGTTGTCTCCTTTTTCTCCTCAGAAGCAGACGCAGACTCTATACGTGGTTGATGGGAGATATTAGAGAGTGTCACATATACGGGGGCTTAGCTTGGTTGGAGATCCCTTGTCGAGAACCAAGCCAGCGCAAGCCAAGATCAGACGAGTATTTACCTGAAGACTTCTCATCCGAACCATTGGGTTCCTTCTCTTCCTTTTCCTTGGACTGCTCTGGCGCCGAGTCCACAGGAGTGGATTGGGTCTCGGCAGGCGCGCGCTCGACGGGCTCAGCACCTTCGGGAGCGGGCGCAGAGGCAGCAGGAGACTCCTCGGCCATGATGCGCTAGGGATCAGATGACGAATCGACGGATGAGATAATAGATCAGTAGGAGATGGAGATAACAAGAACCTTCCGATGATAGGATGAGATGGGGTGGGAAGGGGGGGGAGGTTGAAGTGGGATTTGGTTGGGGGGAGGGGGAAGAGTGAGGTGAGTGAGTGAGGGAGAGAGAGAGAGAGAAGTGGTGGAGAAGGTCGCGACGCCGGGAGGCGGGAAGTCGAACAACGCGTTGCACTTCTTGGGGGGAAGGGAAAGCGACACACTGCCAGACCGCAAATGACGCAAACACTTCAACAGCCACAACCTTCTCAAGACTTGAGATCAACCACAACAGTCGGTCGCTCAGGTTCGGCTTTCAATCAGATAGACTCTATCTGGATCAATAAAGCTTTCTCTGGATAAGCTGCTGGAAACGCTGTGCTTGTAGTGGAGTAGTCGAGTGCTAGTCACTGATTCTTCCCGAGGTCACGGCACCCGAGGTCACAACACGGCTTTGAAAGAGAGATAGGTGTAGATGAAGCTATCGCGCTTCAGACAAGATGGTAATTAGTGGTCGAGAGACGATGATCGTGTCAGGGGGATTTCTGCCGGTTCACGACTGTGACGCGAGCACACACGCACACCACCAGCGGCACGAGACGATCTGCCAGCTGCCTGTAGACCACAGTTGCTGCTGCACTACCACCTTCAACACAAACACGACAACAATAACAACAACACGCGGATACGGTCGTGTTCGAACTAGGTGGTGGTGGTGGTCCTTCTGCTGGAGTTCAATAGTCGATGCGACCGGATATAGACGGAATCGCTGCTGGTGACAGTTAGGGAGTCCCTCCCCAGTCTGACCAAACTTGTAGATTACTGCCTCCCTCGGCACACCCAAACACTCGGGTGCAAGTGACAGTGATGAAATCTGGTGGAAGAGTTTAGAAGGTGATGCAGGAGTAATAGGGAGGTTGCGGACTGACCTGGTGGCACCCTCGTCAAGCCAAGAGCGACTGAACGCGAAGAGGACGTCGAGCAACACCGAGAAACCCCGCGGTCGCAAGGATCTGCTCTGCAAGGTAAAGAGCAGGGAAACCCACCACTGCTCACGTAACAAAGACAAAAAGGTCTTATCTCTATCTACCGAGATGATTGATGGGGAATTAATTCGACAATCACAAGGGAGAAAAGGAGTGATGGGTTTGGGTGTGAGTGCGCGAAAGGGTAGAAGAAGAGCAAGTAGTTAGTAGTTGAGTTGGTAGTAGTAATCCATGATAGTCAAGAATGGAGAAATCGCCCTCCCCAGACAATACAAAGTACACACGCATTGTTCCTTCACACTTTCCCTCCTCCTTTCCCCTTGATACCACTCCGATCCACCAATTCACCACTAACTTGCGGTCTTTCACTTTGAATTCGGGAGCCTTCACTCAGATGGACGTCGAGATCTCACTTGCAGAGACGAAGCTACCCGTCTTCGTTATCCTGTTCCGTATACCCTTATATACTTTGCCAGGTGAGCCCGAAAGATGCTGTGGTATCAACCCCACCACTCTTCCTCCATAGCACACTTTACGGGCGCTGGAGATATGATTAACTTTCAGTACTTGGAGATTCCACTCGACTCATATGCGCAGAACCACTTGACTACCGCCAATCATGCTTATTTAAGGTCTAAACTCATACAATCACACAGAAAGAAAGAGAAAGAAAAAATAATCAGGTATTCATACTTGCATTATTTCCTAAGGATGCTTGTATATGCGCTGTAAGGACTGCGTCAATTGCAGTGACATGATGGACGTAATGATACGGCCAAATAATAAATCGAGGAAGCATATTAGCAGGGAGTCATCGAGGTCATGGTTCGGAGTGGGGTTCATAGACATTAATGTTGCATATGCAAGGGTATCATCAAGCTCTAGGACAGGCAAAGTGGGCAGGAGGGGATCACCTCCCGACTGTCGCTGCATTAAGGGAGAGAGGTGTGTTCGGAAATGCCATCGTCGACCCAGCCGACTGCGTCTTCGAGTCCGTCCGTGGTGTTCGATGCTGGCTTGTGAATACGAACCACCCACAGAAAGTAATCTTCCAGGGGTAGCAGATTCAAGAGGATTCCGTTGAATCTCCATCCAAGAGCGCATACCGTTGCACCGGCAATCGCGTCCAAGATGAAGTGGTTCGCGGTGGCGACGATAGCGGCCAGGATCACAAAAGGATAGGCAAAGCCCAGAGCGAGGCAGCCCAGCCGACGCCACGAAGGAAGCTGCAGCTTCAAAGGACCAATGGCCACGCGGGTGCGGCGACGCTGATGTGGCGGCAGCGGGATGGTCATGATGGTGAGACCAATCATGAGGGAGTAGCCAAAGTGTAACGACGGCATGGCGGCTAGCACACAGTCAGTGACGTTGTTCTGAAATAGCCCAGGACGCCTAGCTGGTCTTGAAGGCCACAAGACTTACCATACTGATTGCAGAAGCGATTCTCGGTCCAGACGCTGCCCGCGCCGTTGACTCCATGCACAGTATCAACAAACCCGTAGCTACGGCCCAAGGCTGCGTCGGGCCCCTTCGCATCTTTGTCGCTCAGCAGACGAGGCGGCATACAGGGCCACAGAGTGAAAACCACAAAGGCAAGCAGATTGCACACGGCAAGAGTTCGGCGCCGGGCCTGATATAGATGAGACCCCGCGGGTGAGCCACTCACTAGCCCGCGCGGTTTTCCTGGTTGCGACTCGTCGGATCGGTTCCTTGTGATGGTGAAATAGTACAGCCAGACGAGAAAGGCGATTGTTCCAGGAATGTGGATGAACGAATAGATCCAGTTGGTCCAGGTCATGAGAGTGGGATGACGAAGAAAGTATTTTTGGATGGAAACCTCCCAAAACAAGCCCAGTGCCTCCTCAATCTGTATCAATCGCAGTGCATGTTTGCGCGCCACATCGACTGTATCATCTTTGAGAGTAACAGCAGTGAACGCGCGACCCAACTGATATGTCTGTATCCAGTAGGTTAGTCTTCCGGTCTAAGTCGCGAGCGGGAATGCAGGTTCAACCATACCCAGTACACAAGCGCCCAGTACCAGCATTCGACAAGAAAGGGAAACTTGCGGAGCAAGCGACTGAGTAACCGATCATGAAAAACAGTGGTGTCTGGAGACGTGACTTCGAAGGTCGAGTTAAAGAGCCCGATCTGTCTCTTGCGCCAACCAGTCTGACCGAGCTGCGGGAGCGACGAAGAAGATGAAGAACGGCGGTTTAGTAGAGTATCTTTGACAGTGGGGGTAGAGACGCCGGACTCGATTGCGCCAGGAGAGGAATCACGCGACACGACATTGGAAGTGCGACGAGGTCTCCGGGGAGGAAATGACCCTGTACTTCGGTTGATCCAAGTGCCTCCGAAGAGGAGGACGATGACGGTCAGAGGTTCTAGAATAGCCCCTACGCCCATAATGAATGGAAGCGGAAAAGGAATGCGCTGGTCTGGCTAGTGGCAGAAGAATGATCCAGGACCAAGGGAGAGAAATAAGACTAAGAATCTAGGCGAGGCGGATGGAGGAAGGGAGTGTCGTGGTTCGAGAGGATGAGCGGCTGTGATAGTATGAGCGACTGAGAGAAAAGAAGAAGTTAAGTTGCACAAGAGGGTGCTAGCATTTTAGGTACAGGTATCGAGGGATGCAAGCTGAGAGAAGGTGATGCGGATTCGAAGCGAGGTAAGACGTAAGATGAGAGATGGGAAAAGGAAACTGGGAAAGATGTCACGCTTACCTGCTGGTTGAGACGCTGGTTATGTATGTATGCACAGTATGTACGGGAGGGGTATTCATGTAGGTACCTAACCTCCACTTACGTATTCTGCCCACTTCCTCTTGGTTCAGGGCAAGTCCATGCTTTAAGTATCTTAGGATTTTAAGTATAAGAAAGTCAAAAGGTAAGAAAGAGCTTTGTACTTGGCGAGATAGTACAGTACTTGGACCCAGTCAAATTTCGAGTGGGGGGGGGGGGGGGGGGGGGGGAAGAAGAAGAGGAACCATGCGAGGTGAAAGAAGCTCAATAACGAGAACTGCTCACGGAGGCCTGCCTGACCGGTAGCTATTCTGTGCATATGTCGTGACAATTAACACATGCTGGAGCCAGGGAAGGGCAACCAAGGAAAGCAGGCGACCGCTATAGATTAGTGGTTTGGAGTTATCGGAGCTACCGGAAGCCGGGTGTGATTTTTCTTTTCTTTTCTTTTCTTTTGAGACATCGGGTTTCCAGACCCTAGTCTACCTTGGCATGGTAGTATTTGTACATAACTGGCTCGTCCTAGTTCGAGTGAAGAGATTGTGATAGATTTCACCTTCTATGGTCAGCAAAAAGTACAAGTCATATCTCTCTCTTACTGTACGGGCTCATGAATCTCAAGCTTGCTCTGAAGAACTACTAAGAACTACTCGAAATATGATCACAACTACGCTGGAGTGACTGTATGATCCATCTATGATGATGGCCAACACACCTCGGGTAGTTCAGCGGTGAACAAATCTCCAACTGAGTATGTTGTGAATGGATGGTCAGCCCTAAGTACCTCCCTGTAGGAGAAGTACTTAGAGGTACCGTCTCGGTATTGACTAGTAATAATCATTACAGAATGGAAGCTGGTCGCCCCACTACCTAGTAGTACCAAACCGAGGAAAACAAGGGAAGCAACCAATGGTTGGTGGAACGGGATCTTGCAGCACCAGCACTGAGCTGCCCACCACCTGTGGCACTGCTGCTTTCTTTCCCCAAACCAGGTAAGACGTCACATGGTCACGGGATGGAGGGTCTCCCTTCAATTCTGATTACTCACAGCTGGGTTATCCCAGAGTCGATAAGCCGGTCGGCGCTGATTATTGATTTGTTATCCTCCTCAATCCTCGTCATAGCATTGCATGCCTCTACATATATGTATCTCGTATAGCAGTAGTATCGTCCATATTTGAAAGTTGCAGGCGTGTACGAAACCCGACCCAGTAGCAGAGAGAGGCCTATGCGTCGATCAGTGAATATCACCTCCCCGGATTGTTCAGCCTTGTCCAGCCTTGTCTTGCCCAACAGTGTACTGACTGGTACACGGTACAGTACGCACTCTTCCTACTTACTGTATATACTCATGTCCGCCCAAGTCAACATTGCTCAGTACATCAGATTTGCTCAACGACTGAGTCGGCATTCTCATATCACCGGTATAAAATTATGAGCTTAATTATTGTACTCGCCTGAAGCAGTCCAGGTACTGCGGTTACACATCGGACCAAGTACGTTACGTACGAGAGAAGGAAAAAAAAAACCCGTGCTTAGCGCCTAGCATGAGTCTTCGCATCGGCCACGGCTGGAGCCACTTGGTCCGCTTCCGAGCGCCCGCCCAAGCCAAGCCGCCAATACCTCCGAATTGGCAAATTCCCCAAGGTCCGTCATAACTAAGACTTTGTGTGCATTAATAATGTCCAGTGTCGGCACCCGGAACTCAGCTCGTCCGCTCCCAGTTTCCGCTGACGCCGAACTCCGTGCAAGTGAAGCTCAGTCAGCGGGTATCCCTAACTAACTACGGAGTAGTTAGTTAAGTGGTTCCATCCTAAGAACGGTGCAGTGAATCGGATCCATGATTCCAACTGGTTTTATCGCCCAAACCGGCTCACCACCAAGGTTCAGCGCCGCGGCCTAGATCCGAATCCGTTGAAAGACCCTTCGGTCGGCCTTACTGACTAATGGAGACTCTCAGACTAAGGGATTGACCCGCCCTGATGATCCAGGGTGCCTGCCAAGTACAGCATAGCAGCAGGAGAGACAAGCTTGTTTCTCGTGAGAAGTACTTGTTGTGATTTGGGGTAGCTTCATTAAGTTCTGGCCCTTAGTTATCATTTGATGATTTATAAATCATTAAAAGGAGCATCTTTCCTCCAGGGCCAGGAAATTGACCGAGGACTTGTCTCCTACTGATGACGTCATGCTAGCGTTAGCTGCTATTGTTAAACCACTCCCCACTTTCGTTACACTGTGCTCCTTTGTCCGAAGATTTGCGTTCTCCCATTCTAGACTCAAAGATCCCAAAACTCTTGGATCGGTGTTTACTGGGTAGGTTAGGTAGAGAAACCCCCATACAATTGATTGATTGACATGCCCTCGAGCCAATCACGCCATGCCTCTCACCCAGGAGGAGGATGAGATCTTGTTTACGTCAGTCAATCTTCAATGCAACCAAAAGCCCGTACACAATTGATTCTTGAGAAATCCACTTCCATACTCCTCTTGTCTCGCAACACATAGCTTTAGTCTTTCTGTATAATCAGTACTCACCCTCAATATGTTTGCACCGCTCCCTCGCATCGCTCCTGCCTCCACTTTGCGAAGTAACATCAATTTTGCGTTGCAACAGCTTCCCAGCGCCTCAGCCTCGGTGCCGGTACTGCCCACAAGATGTTATTCTTCATCCACATCGGCAAAGAAAGAGATCACGCTGCTCCAGGATAAGAAGAATGGATTCGGGTTTGTACGGTCAAACCCCAGACCGCCCAAACCGAGGACCAAGGGTGTTACCGAAATCAGGGGCCCATACTATACTGTATGCCGGTTATCCAGCCGTAGTCCTTAGCATATCTGGAGTGTCGTGTGCTTCTAAGGACCAATAAGGAGCTGATTAGAAGTACAGGCCATGGGGAAACGATACCTAGCAGATGTGCTGGAGACGTGAGCCGCTCGACCGTGTAGGCATTGGAGAGATTTTGCTGCTGACAACTACCACCAAAAGCATGGGAACACATGTGGACGGCTTGAAGTTTGCAGGAGGTAATCAGCTCCAGCTACTCAGCTTGCTCCTGGACGATAGAGGCTAAGCCAGTCAAATAGGGTCATTCTCTCTTTTCCCAGAAAGGCCTTTGAAGGAGTTAATTGATCTCGCTCACGACCACGGAGTCTATGTCTCCACAGTAAGCCGGGATAGATGATACTGTTGTTTTCCTGGATGCTAGCTAAACACTCCTTAGGGCGGTTGGGCTGAGCATCTACTCACTCATCCCGATGCAAACGCCGTGTTTGATAAGTACCTTCGCAAGTGCAAGGACCTTGGGTGCGTATACTCCCAAGTAAACAAGCCCAGTTACCTCGTCTCTGCAACACATCTGATCCATTCTCTCTACTCTAGGTTCGATGTCATCGAGCTCTCATCGGGATTCTTATCCATCCCCGAAGACGACTGGCTCCGCCTCGTTGACAAGGTCCACTCCTACAAGCTGAAAGCGAAGCCCGAGCTAGGGATTCAGTTCGGTGCCGGGGGCGACACCCCCGCGGCAGGGCTGGAAGCTATAGGCACGTCTGATCCGTCGAAGTTGGTGAACCTGGGCCGAAAATTCCTCGACGCAGGCGTCGAGCGCTTGATGATCGAGTCGGAGGGCATCACCGAGAATGTGGGATCGTGGCGGACCGATGTGGTATCGAAGATCATGAAAGAGCTTCCCTCGGAAGGCGTCATGTTCGAGGCAGCAGACCCGAAGGTCTTCAACTGGTACATTCGAGAATTCGGCATTGATGTCAACTTGTTTGTCGACCACAGTCAGATTGTGCAGTTATCGTGTTTGCGCCATGGGATTTGGGGCACGGCCGACACTTGGGGAAAGATTGTCTCTTTCCGACCTGAGTAATGAGTGTCATGTGAGGTTGGTGGCGTGGCTAATCAGGGTATTGACATAGTAGTAGTAGTCAGATTGAACTAATGTACGTGCATCTGGTCGGGATCATTGTCCTGGTGCAAATTGTACTTGGACGTCTCCATTAGTGGGAGATTTCCAGCTCGGAGGTAAAGGAGAAGTTGATCGGGGGGAGCGCACGTCATTACCCGATGCAGCCAAGTTCGCCTCGTGCAGCTGAGTCATGCACGGAAAGATCCATCTCCCCCCTCTTCTCTCCGTCTGGTTCTATGCTCACTTCTCCGCCGAACCCCAACTTTCCCAACTTTCCACCGCAATTCGGGGAAAACAAAAAGGCAATGCTGCCTGTGGTGTCGATCTCGCTTCCCAGCAAGCTTTCACGCGTCCCACTGGTTCTGAGGATTGCCCGAGCTAGTGAACAGGAGATGTTGCACGCCACTATTGACTAGTTTAGTTTGGGTTTCCAGCTTAAGCCCATCGCTAGCCGATCTAATTAGCTAGCCTACTGCTTACTCTTAGAGCCTAGAGGGATCCTCACCTTTTTTTCTACCTGCCTGCCTACCTGCCTTGCATCCTTTCTTTAGCGCCATCTCGCGCCCTCGACGGCTCGATTCAAGCTCCTCTGAATACATGCTTCATCATGCCGCGGGCAAGCACGGCTCCCGGTGCTCGACTCCGGTGCAGGAGAGCTTGCGATAGTTGCAAGCGACGGAAGCAGAAATGCAACGGAGAGCAGCCATGTACAATCTGCGTCCAACGTCGCAAAGAATCCGAATGTCATTTCTCCGACAAACCCGCCCGCTTGCTCAAGCCAAGCAACACCCCCAAAGAGACCATGCTTCTCAGCGAATACCTCGTCCCAACCCCGCAGCGGCAGACGGCCATGGACCGACTTCTGAACTCGCTCGAAGACCGTAGTGCAACATTGGAACAACAGGTGGCGGACGATAAGGATGGCACAGCGCCGGTGCCAAAGGTGGCTAGGCTTTTGCGTGACGGACAGGGAAAGTTCATGTACATTGGTGATTCTGCAAGCTTATCCTTCTTGCAGAGCGTCCGTCGCATCGTCTCCTCGTCGATCGGCCGCTGTGATTTCACGGAAGATAACTCGCGACATTCAATGCTGGAGGCTTTCCAAAATAGTTCTTCGACACAGACAGGGCCCTTGATCGCCCCTCCCAGCAACGAGGAGGCCCAGCGGTTGGCGCGTCAATACGTTCTTGCTACCAGCCCACTGCTAGACCTTTTTGATCTCAACGAATTTCACCCGCGCCTTGCCAACTGGGTGGGAAACCCTACTGGTGACGAAGACACGGTCAGCTCGATCTTCTACCTGGTGCTCGCGATTGGCGCACAGGTGTCAGACACCAACCAGACCCTGGCAGAACAATACTTCATCAGTGGACGTCAATTAGCGTTCTCTGCATTCACCGAAACCCCCAGTATCTACACTATTCAATCCTATGTCTTGATATCCATGTACATGCTAGGTGCGTGTCGGCGCAATGGCGCCTTCATGAACCTTGGCATCGCGCTCCGGGCGGCATATGCGGTTGGTATCCATAGGAAAGATGCCAATTCGCTGTTCTGCACTCGGGAGCGACGGGCCCGCGAGCGCGTCTGGAAGAGTCTTCGTATGATGGACCTTTACCTCAGTGCCTCTTTAGGACGGCCGCCGGCTACCTTGGACTTCGATTATGACCTTCGCGACGATGGTCTTCCGGCGGATCAGCAGCGTCTCGAACCGGAAGAACAATTATCTATGACCGTCGTTTCTTTGTGCCGCATCTTCGAACGGATTTTGACCGAAGTCTATATGCGGCAGGTAGTATCGCTCACCGTGGCTGATGCTATCTCGAACCAACATCGAACCTGGGTCCGTAACCTGCCTATGTTTCTGCAGGTGCAGACAGAACGACTAGAATCAAAGAATCTAGAAGAAACCTTAGCCGCAGCGCATGTATTCGGGTCGTACTACTGGTCGATCATTCTTCTGACTCGTCCGTTTCTTGTTTTTCGGGTCTCGCAGTATGTGCGAAGTAAATCTGATTCTACAAGCTCCGGCGACACCAGGACCACCAATTCTCGGATCGCACTCTTTGCCGATGCATGCGTCTACTCAGCCTTACGAGGTCTCAACATTGTGGATGGTCTTGCTCGTTACAGCAATCTCCCTCGCCGGTTGCCCTTCCTGATTAACTCCGTCTTCAACTCAGCTGTGGTGCTAGGCGCAGCATTCTTTGCAGACTACGACAACCTACTCCCGTTGGAGGAGGGGATGGAAAAGGCCGAACGATTTCTTGGCTTGTTCGTGCCGCATGATCCTCATGCATGTCGCTTCTACCAGATCATCAAGTATCTCCGCGCGGCGGTGGCCGAGTATGTCCGTCGACGAAATCGTCAGTGGATGGAGCGCCGTAGTCGTCAAGTGGACCAGCTTTTCGGCCAGGTCGGCACTTCGGATGAGCCCTCGGCCGCAGCAGATGCCAATACTCCGTCAAGCCGACGCGGCGATCCAGCAGCCGTCTTGTCACCGCTCTCTCCCGAGAAAGTGGCCGGGGGACCAACACTACCTCATCCCTCCAACATGACTACGGCCACCACCGCGGCTCCAGGCCAAGTGGATAACGACATTTGGGAGACCCTGTATGGCACCCAGGGCGCACCTCCTCTTCCATACGATACGGCCGTTTCGACGCTCACCACGACGGGGATTCCCATCGGCTGTTCCCCCGGCGGGACCATCCCGTCTGGCGCTTTGCCTTCTGAGGTCCCGGGTGGCCATACGCCGCTGTCTGATGTGATTATGCCGGACAATGGCCTTCTGTATATGGCTGAGGATCTTCCCGTGTTTGGTCTCTGGGAAGACGCCTAGATTTGGGGAGGTTATCTTTTTCGGTGTACACCTTACACACGTTCGCCATCACTTTTTACCACCTATCTATTGGGACAGGTTATTTACGACATCTTCATGAACATAGCATGCCCGACTCCCATCTTCTGGCGTTTTTGGATCTGGAACCTGGCGTTCAGACGATTAGCTTGGGGTCGATTCCATGTATATCCTCTTTATTTTTACTTCTGTCTGTACATACCTACCTTCATGCAGATAGCGAATCCATGCATTTACATAGAGGCACCGTCTCCTCCTGTTTGGAAGATCATGTGATATTAAAACAGCATCAGGCTCGGCTGTAGGTCCATTGGAGCCCTGATGCTGGCTCCATACAATCTAATCCCAACAGCAACAGCCAACCCTGCGAGCCTTTAGGGGCAGAAATCACAAGACAAGACATCTGAGAACGACACAAACGCCACGCCTCCACCCAGTCTTCCACTCTATACAGCGAATTGTATATCGTATACAAGCCCCCCAACAAAGCCCAATCCCCGCATTCACCCCCTTCACAACTCTCTATCATTCCCACCACACCCCACAATCAACCCCCTCCCCCTGACCCCACAACCTAACCCAAGAAAGAAAGAAAGAAAGAAAGAAACCCCCCTAATGCGTAGCCCCAAAATCATCCACGGAAATCCCCACCGCCTCCGCATGCCACGTACTGCCCCCATCCGCGGTCGAGAAGCCGCGAGGACTACTCGTCGCGCCCACCAAAGACAGCGTCTGCCCGAACAGCGGGTCAGCCTCGCTGAGGACGATGGTGATGTTGGTCCAGCCTAGCATGCAGGAGCTCATCAGCTATTTGGGAAGACACCTTCTTTTCCACTGGAGTATAGAAGAAAGGGAAAGAGAGGAGAGATGTGACAAAGGCAGCGGAGAACGAGGCAAGAGCAGGCAAGGCAAGGGACGCACTATAGCCCGGCAACGAGCCGCAGGTGCCCGACCCGGTGTAGCATTCGTCGGCGGAGTAGAGGTACTGCAGGGGGTTGGTGAGGGGGTCGGTCTGCTGGGAGACGAGGGTGTCGGCGATGCGGACGGATTGGTGGACTTGGTTCTGATTCTGGACGGTGACTGTTTCTCTTGGGTGAGCTCCGATGGTTGGAGGGTGGTGGTCAGTTCGGAGGTGTTTCGTTGCTCTCTCTCGCTGACGCAGGCCAAACGTGTAGATGGAAAAGGTGGATCAACTGACTCTCGAAATCGACCGGCGCATCCTTCGCCACGGGGACGTACGGCTGCGCAACTTGGCCGGCTAGTATGGGTTTCATTCACTTAGCCATCTACTCTCTGGGATTCTGCAGAGACACATAAAGAAACGGGCCAGGGACACTCACCCGAAGTATACGTACTAGCAGCCACGCACCACTCCTCCGCTCCAGCCGAACAGCCCCTACGTTCCACACAAACCACACGCCATATCAGCGTCTCTCCACACATACACTTCTCGCCTCATCTTAACAACAGTATAAACACCGGGACAGAATCCCAGCAACACCATGCCATAGACACACTGCAGAACCGAAAAGTAAACATACTGGGACTTCTGGTCCGGCGACCAATTGAACAACGGCTGATAGAGACTGTTGCTCGCGTCGCCCTGCGTGGCGGACACCCCGATCCAGATGGAGGTCCAGACCTCGTCGCGGGGGTCCTTCACCGTCGTCCCTTGGGGGACTCCGGGCGCGGCGATCGAGTATGTGGCCTTGGTGATCTGGCCGTGGGCCGGGGGGCCCAGGTAGAAGCCGTATCCGAAGGTCCATGAGTCGGGGCTGTAGGCGGCGATGCTGCCGAGGGCGAGGGCGAGGGTGATGTATGTGTAGCGCATCTTGCTTTTCTTCTTCTTCTTCTTCTTCTTCTTCTTCTTCTGTCGTCGTTGTTGTCGTTGTCGATCGTGCGATTGCTAGCAATCGGACAGGAGTGGAGTGGATTGGCGTGGTTCAAAAAAGAAAACATGGAGTGAGATACAGTCGCAAAGCACCAGAAATGAATGACAATGACACTTTACAAGAACGGAAATTCAGCGAATGAGAGTCGGCTTGTTGATCAACAGCCTTCTCGAAAAACCGGATGGCGCCCAAAGTTAAATGGGGGTTGTTAGGGCAAGTCAAGCAGCTCAGCTGTAGTTGCTACGGATAATAAACTCAAGTCATTTGGGTATTGTCGTCAGGGACTCGGGTGCAGCTGCAGGTGTCTCCACTGTCAGATTTAAGCTCTGTCTTGAAATGTCTTAAATCGAAACATGACTCCAAAATTGCTCAACTTCTCCGGAGGGCATGTAATTCTAAAGACCTCCATTGTATCTTCTTTTTATGGGCTCACGTGGCCCTCCGATCTCATGTAAACCCCTGAATGTGATGGTCGTGTCGCAATTCAGGTAGCAGAGACAAGATACCTGATGTATATAGCATTGAAAGCAGAACCAGTCTTTGAAACGTCTATGTACGGAAAGAAAGCTAAGAAAACTAAGTGATGACCAGAACCAGACTTGTTTACTTATAGTTATAGTTATCGGCGGGAACGCCACACGGGAAGACGGCAGATCGGCCAGGTCAAGCATCCGCCACTGACTGACGGATATGCCGCCTACCGTACCATACAATAGATCAATCATCTCAAGTCGTTGGTAGATGAACAATATTCCATATTCTGTCGGACCACAACCTATATGTACCGTACATGAATGGCAAAGATGGTAGCGTGGCAAGGGAGAAACCAGATAAGGGTGCCCATGGGGGGTAGCCACGAATCAGACTTTCGCGGAAAACAGCAAACCACATTTGCGAAGACAATATCAAGTCAATGGAAAAGGAAAATGGGATAGGGAACGCAGCACCTCCAATCAAACAAGCAGATACACAGACCATAACACAGGGCCAAATAGCACGATCATGAAAACAGGTGGGAGAAGAGTAAAGGGAACCAGAATCATATATAGGGAAAGGCGGTTGGTTGGTCGAGCGATCAGTCTTTATCTCTCGAGCGGGCAACTACTGTTCACACATTAAACAGAATTGTCCTCTAAAAGACAACTGATTGACATCGAGCGTCCAAAATTACATATAGAGTCCGGCACCGGGGTACGAGACGAAAATTCTAAGAAAGCGGCGTGAGGGAGGCGAGAGTCGAAACATCGCTTCTGAACTCATTGCATATATCTGACGGACCAAGCCACGTCCCATACGCGTAGTAGCGGTGGGAGTCGCAGAAAAGAGGGAATTAGATAAAAGCGGCATCGTCTATGCGCGATGTGCATGCCATTCCCGCCAGCAAGAAAGAGCAGCGTGGTTGTATAGGAATGCCGCCAAGAAGAAAAGTGTATGTACATATCCGGATCAGAACCCGAACGGATTGGTAGGTGCTAGAAAGTAGTGTACTGGTCAGAAATCTGCAAGTGTGGGGTCATTGTTGAAGGCTGAACTTACTAGCTTGCGCAAGGTTGGCTCGGAGGCCTGTCGGCTGCGGGGCCAGCTTCTTAGGAGCGTCATGCTTCACACCGAATCGGATGGGAGGGGCGGGGCCAGTCTTCTGGGGCTGCAGTGGTGTAGCAGTCGGCTGGTGAGGGATAGGTGGCAATGGCGGAGCTGGTCCACTGTATGGCATACTGCTGAAACCGTTCATGCCAGTGGGTTGAGGCTGCAAAGGCGGCGGCAGGACCGAATTGATGCCTGTCTGCATTGGCTGCTGCGGCTGTGGCTGGAAACCTCCAAACCCGGTCGGTTGCGGTGCCAAGCCAGGATAGCCAGTCTGCTGCTGCTGCTGCTGGATTCCAAATTGCGATTGCGGCTGGAACCCGGTTGGCTGCGGCATCAGCCCGTTCTGGAGTTGAGCTTGCGGCATGAATCCGGTCGGTTGAGGCTGTTGCAGGGATGGCTGGAACCGTTGTTGATTCAGCTCGGCCAAGCTTTGACCCGGCGGGGCAATCTGCGGGCCCGATTGAGGAACCCCAGTCAGCTGAGGCTGCAGTGTAGGGGGCCCAAATGAGCTCGGCTGCTGAGGGAAATTTTGAGGGGCTGAGAGAGGTCGTTGAGGCGGGGGTGGGAGCAACGAATTGCCTCCCAGTGGGGTTTGTGGCGCTTGCGGACGCTGTCTTGCAGCCGACTGGAACCCGGTTACCTGAGGATTGAAGGCTTGAGCGGCCTGTGGCTGTCCGAGCTGTGCGAAGAAACTAGGTGAAGCACCCGTCGCCTGCGGCTGTAGTTGGGGTGCAGGCACAGCAGTGGGCTGAGGTTGGATGGTAGGCTGAGGCTGAATCGTATGCTGAGGTTGAATGGTGGGTTGAGGTTGAATGGCCGGTGGCGCTGCGGGCGGCGACTGAGGCGCAGGCGCGGGGGCAGGCGCCGGGGTGGGTTGAAGGGGAGCCTGAAGTAAAGAGAGCTCTGCCATTGCACCTGTAAGCGGTTGTGCAGCCGGAGGTTGGCTCGTAGTCGGTGTAGACGCAGCCGGAGGGGGGCTTGATGTAGTCGCCGGCGCAGCGGGAGCAGCAGTGGTGGGAGCCTGTTTGGGTTGCTTGACTTCCCAGGCATCGTCGTCGAAGCCCTTTTGCACTGATGGTTCCGGCGCAGTTGCAGAGGCAGGCGGAGTGTCACTGCGCTCGGCAGGCTTCGAGCCATCCTTCTGCTCGAAGGCCTTCGGGTCAACCACATCGCTTGCTGGCGTATTAGGTGCAGGTCTGCCTTTCCGAGTGTTATTGCGCAGCATCCCCCCAGGACCAGAGAAAAGGCCGCCAGCCCCTTCCTCGTCGATGACTTCCTCGCCTCCGAAGCTGACGTTACGCAGTTTAGACTTGGCACCTGTCCGGCCAAACATGTTGTCCAAGTAGCGCATTACCCGCAGGATATCGCCCTCCTTCAATCCAAGGGTGCGCAGGACTTCGGGGGTGATGTCCGGAAGGATTCCCTCATCCATGGAGTCCTTGATGAAGTTCTGTGAATACCGTTCACATTGATGAGGGCCAACACCGGCCTTCAGGAAGAAGTCGAACCAATCGTAATCAGACTGCTGGAAAGAAGCACCATTCTGCTTGCCGTCAGACGAGCTTCGAGTCTTTTCGGGCTCAATGCGCTGAGAACGGCGCTTGATGTCAGACAAAGGCTTGTCTTCGTCCAGAGAGGCTCCAGTCAGCTTTTCGACGTATTCCAGGTCTTCTACCGACATCTTCATGATGGGCACGGCAATCTTGATCCCATTCTGTTTGTGCAAGTGAATTTTACCGTCCATCAACCCGATGAACTGGGCCTCAACGGTGAAAGTCTTCGTGCGGTCGGTCCATTGTCTAACCTTCGTAGGATCGGGTTCTGTGCAGCTTGGTCAATCGTAGACACATTTGTACGGACTAGTCAGGACTTACTCGATTTGTGGCTAGATTTGCTGTCCCGTTTCTGGCGTTAGAGCAATATTAGCATCTCTTCGTTCTTTAGAATGGTGCCATGGCGTGCACGAAACATACCTCCGGACTTCGCATATCCGCCGCCATCGAGTCGGTTTTCGATTTCCGGGACGCCTCCTTTGTGAGACGTGCTTCTTCCATGCGGTTCTTCTCCACTGTGGACAAGCCTGGTTCAGCACCCCCCGGTGGCGGGCTGGTGACGGTACCTGTAATCTCGATGTAACTACTCGGAACCACACCCTCCTTGCCGTTCTTGAGACGGCGCACCATCCACCACTCTTCCGACTTGCTGTCATCGAGAACAATGACATCGTCGCCCACTGCCACCGTCACCTCGTCATCGCCCTGCGCCATGAAGTCATACAGAATCTGGCCCTTCTTCTGACCTCCGCTGGTGCCGGCGGCAATGACCTCCCGGAGTCCTTCGGCGCGGTATGCACCCGAAATCTCTCCGAGGGCGGAAACAATCTCACGAGCTGTATCTTTCGCTCCAGCATGGAAATCAATACTCTTGCTGGGGCGAATAAGATCCACGAAGACGTGCTTGCCCTCGATAGAGTAGTGGGTCAGCTTGTCCGCCGTCCACTCCTGCACTGCACCTTCTTCTTCTGGCGAGATGAAGATAGTTCCCGTTGCAACATTGATACCCAAAGTCGTGGGCATCTTCTTTCGCTTGCCCATGACCTCGACCATCTCGTTGATAGTATAAATATGGTAACCCGACGGGGAACGCGGAGTAGGATGGCCCACTCTGTTGTAGGGAGGAGATTCCTTCACGTGGCCCTCGCTATCATTGCTTCGGAGCGATACATGTCGGGGCTGAACGGGCTCGCGAGGCGACTCTACGCGCACAGGCGATGAGATGAATTCTGATGGGGGACGCTGCGGAAGAGCCGGCGGCGGCGGCGAAGGTTCCCTGCGATAGTCCTCCTCGGGTTCGTATGTCGGACGCGCCGGCTGAGGTGGCGGAGGTACAGTGCGGGGTGGTTCAGACTCGACGGGGGAGGCGTGTTGCTGGTGGATGATATTGGCAATGGCAGCAGCAGCAGGGTTCTGCACGGTGTCGATTGGCGAAGGGGCGCGAGCCTCGTTCACCTCATCCGCGGTCACGACCGGTCGCTGCGGAAGCGTGGGAGGCGCGGGTTCAGGTTCAGGTTCATATTCCGGTTCCGGTTCATATTCATCCGGTACATGCGATGGGGCCAAAGGGGCAGCAGCGTGGCCTGCATCTTCCACGATCTCGATATAGTTTGCGGGGGCGAAGCCAAAATCTCCATTGACACCCACTAGCGTCCAGTCGGGATCGGAGGTGTCATACACAATCAAGTCAGCATCTTCGGAGAAAGAGACCTCTTCGTCTGTCTGGCGCGTGTAGTCGTAGAGTGCCTTGGCTGTGTGCGTAGGTTGAGCCTGTGAGTCGGGAATGAGAGCGTCAGCCATCAATACGGTTCATACCGGACAGTGTGTTGTCGCGCCTTCCACCGCACCCGCTCTACCCCTGAAGGCGAGAACACCCGGATAACGGGAATCGTTCGCATAGCCCGATGAAAGAACACCCAAGTAGGTCGGGTCGGGATTGGCGGAATTATCGGCATGGACTATCGAGCCAGGGAATGAGAGCTTACCTCCTCGACGTAGTTGTTCGGAACGAGACCTTCGGGCTCATCCTCATCGTCGCGATCGGCCTTCTTCTTGGCCTTCCACCAACTGTCCTCCTCACTTTTTTCTAGA